GGGGGGGTTTGCTATCGTCCGCGAAGCGGCGAGTCAGTCCGGGGGGCGAGTCAGTTCGGGGTGCTGTCGGAGAGAAGCGCAGGGTCAGTCCGGGGGGGTGCTGTCGGAGAAGCGCAGGGTCAGTCCGGGGGGGGGTTGTGCTGTCGGAGAAGCGCATAGGGCAGCACCAACGTTAAATACACCGCTGCATATGTGCCTAACACGGAAAGGGAAATGGTTAATCTATATAGATGTATCAAACTTATTGAGACTGCATGTACATGCAAATTTTAAGCCTTTGTTTAGAAAATTGATGTTAGATTGATCAGATAATCAGTCCTTCAGATGATTAATTGATTGATCAGTGAAAGTATGAATGCCAAGAGTAAAAAATACCTGAGCTGGGTTGTTTGTCTACCTTTTTGTTTGGTGTTGTGACCTCCACTACTTCCCCTTGTTTTCTTCTTCTTTTGTGCCCTCCCGATGATTTTTTGTCTTTCTTTAATTTGTGTTTTATTTGGTTTGTCATCAAGTTTTAGTGGTACGATATATACTGTATTCTTTCTTTTTACAGATCTGTGGGAATCAGTGATGTTTGTATATGTTATTTGACTAGTGATGGTAGATCTAATCTTTGATGTTTTCTGTTTAGTTGAGTCAATATTTATAGAAGGTGGAGTCTCTTTGCATGTGGGGACAGTTATCAATGATCTGTGTTGGGTTAGTATGAGTCATTTCTTGTTGCTCTTATTCTCCTCCGAGCCTTGTTCTGAAATGCCTTCTTTTTCTTTTCTATGATTTCTCATTCTGCAATATCAAGTCTACGGTGTATACTCCTTCCCAGAATCCTTTATTCTTCCTTATTTTTAGAGGGTTCTCATTCTTGTATTATAGTTTTTATACTCTCTTCATTATCTAGCAGTTGGGTTTTTCTAGCCTTGATAATAGACAGACCCAGAGAGACTGAGCAGAGGGACTGCATGACTGGGGGGAGCAATAGTCCATGGATAAGGGGTTAAAATAAATGTGAATTAGCTGATCTTACCTGATTGGAGGTTGGGGTCAGGTTTCCGGGAGGAGCCAAATGGGTTGGAAATGCAAGGGCTGAGGGGCGTTCTTTCTGGAAAGTCGATGGAGGAAGCAGGTTGTCACATCCGCCCTCCCTTAATTTTGTGGTTTCTGATGTTTGCATGGTCATTTTTTATGTCACGGCAGCTTGGCGGGTTAGGGGGTCTTTGGGGGCTGACATTTCTGAGTCTGAGTCACAAAAATGGGGGGCCATCAGCTGGTATGGGTGCTTCCCAATGTGTGTCAGTATTTGTCAGGGGCCTGCCCCCTTGAAACGTGTGAGCAGTATAGGAACAAAAAGGAAAG